CCTTAACCACCTGGCCATGCCGAGCACATAACAATGATAACCATGCTTAATTACCACTCCTAATAACATCAAACATAACGTTTACCTCCCCTTATGAAAAAAGCTTTCAACTTTAATGTGCTTAGAAGATTATAAAAGCAGAGTATCCTCCCATCACCCTTTAACCTGTTCTCTCTACGTATATATTTCATATGAGCAATGTGAACAGATATGCAGCCTCTCAAGTTGAACCAAAAGTAACCTCTTTGTATTTCAACAATATCTCTCAACACTGCTTTTTCAATTCCAGAATTAGACCCATATAAACAATTACATTCCACTTAGAAGGTTGCTATTTCAAGCTTAAAATTTCCATCAAATGAAATAAGCATATCATTTAATAACTAGCAGATTACCTTGAAACAATTCAACGGTAATTTTCCTAAAATAAATAAACATAAATATAAATAAATAAATATAAAATGTACAGTCAACAGAATCCTTGGATAAGAGTGTAAAGGCAATATAATTTTGTCATTCTATGTGTTATTTTAGTAATTAAAATTGCATTACATTTGTTTTTAAGCAAAAAAGAATGATTGCAATATATTGTTGGCAAAGATGTTTGGATTTTAATGCAGTAGGTACATCCAGCACAATAGAGCACTCAGGTTCATTAAGTAGCTGCAGCGATTTTTTTTTCCACTGGATGCCACCATTCCTCGTCATTTTACTGAGCACAAGAAAAGACCACTACCGAAGTGCTCGCATTTTTGACAATTGTCACTTCTATGAGAGGTATCAATGAGGGAATATTCAATTCAAATTAATTTATTTGACACCTACAATAAAGTTATACATGTTTATAATATCTTATAATACCGTTTTCCCGACCCCTACTGGGAATAATGATTTAATTTATTTTAAAGGCAGTTATTAAATGCAGCATTTATTTTAAATTACAATGTTATGAGTTAGATGAGAACTATTTTAATCCATTTGGGGGATCTGTTTCATTGACCTTTGTAGGTACAATGGCCTAAAACCACAACAAATGCATTTTTTCAGTATCTAAAATGGTCTATGCCCAGTCTTTGTTCTAGCTAGAAATAACATTTATGTTAAGACATGGTTCATTTTAACACCTTCATGACATTCGTCTTAATTGGTGAAAATTGTATTCAAAGCTAAGGCTGCCATTTTACTCCACCTTCCATTATGTAACAGCCCTTTCCGACACAAAATATTCATATACTTAGATCATAAAGATGAAATGAAATTTAGAATTTCCAAGATGCTGATATTTACTGTAGTTAATGCCATTGGAAAACAAATGAATACAAATGAAATTGGGACATAAGGATCATCCAGAAAAAAAGACCTGCATCAAGACGTATCTCCGTCGTGGTAAGCAAAGTCTGACACCTTGTAACGAATGAAAATATACTAAGACAAAGGTCAATGGGAAAAGTTGTTCACATGCTCCTGGCAGTAGTAATCAACACAATCAAGAAGGATTTCCATCTGCAAAACAATACAAATCACGAGTACACAAATTGTTTCCATGACATACCTGTTCATCCATGAAACAAGTTATCATGCTATTACAAATGAAGACATATTGACAAAGTCGCCAGATGCAATGTCTATGGATTTCTGTGTGATCGAAGGGATAATTGAAAACCATAATTTTTGTACACTAGATGGATTATAGAAGGCAATGCGGAAGCATTGTTGTGGTTTTGACATGAAAGCCTTACTATGGAGCCTTTTTCATTGAACACTACACTGAATGGCTATTGTCAAGGTACATGACCACTAGATACAACACATGCATCTCAACCATTATTATGTCTGTCATATCCCAGCTGCCCTGAAGATACCTGGTATTGGATGAAAGGCCTCATCGCCACTTGATAGAGCAGATATAGTGTGATTGATATATTATTATACATTCTTTTGTACTTTTACTCGAAAGTTCTTATTAATGATTACAAATGTAGCTTTCTCCAGTTGATGCTGTGGTTTCTTGACCCACTCTGGGACCAAGAACACAAGCTTCCATTTCTACTTCCATTGACTTTCCTCAATGGCGTCTCTGAATGATTTATCTGTGTCTTGTCCACTGTAGGTTTTGAACAAGAATTTTAGCATTATAAGCCCTCAATCTTACCACTATCCCACCGGGCCATATTGAAAGGCCATAGGATCTAACTGATGGGAAAGTCAAGCATAACATGTAATTATATCAGAAACTAAGAGAAATGTGTAAGTTAGTACCGACAAATAAAGCATTTGTTGCGTCATCGAGGTCACGTGACTGGTGTGGCGCCACCTATTTTCTAGAACTATCCTGTACCTTGGCGAATGCTCTAGTATTTACTAGATATAGAGTAGTCTGGTATATAAAAGAGGGTAACAACGTGACGGGATAATAATGTGTGTGTAGATTGTGAGTAATTGAACTACAGTCAGAAGTATTGTTGATGTTCGTTGATATAGCGTTTGTTTTAGCGTGATTGTTGAAAATAAGTGTATCGTAAAGTTGTATTCGGAAAGAATAAACCAGTTTTATTAAGTAAGGATTTGTGTCGCTAAAGTTTCGTCGGAACGAAGTTACGGAAAGTTAATTAACAAACGGAGACGTAACACATTATTAGTCTCAAAGTAGGTTCCTCACCGACAACTTATCGCTTAATTCTTCAATGGCTATTTTAATATCAACTTGGTCGGGCATTCCCAACCCCTTAAGATAATAGAATGCAGACCTGAATCATCAAATAGGTCGTTTATATTTGTGAACTTTTCCTGCCACGATTTTAGACTAGACATAAAATGTCTTTTTTATGATGGCTCATGTGAAACAACTTAAAGTTTGCACACTCGTAAAGCCTCCAGTGGCTCAGTGGTAAGTCTAAGGGCTTTTATCATTAACAGTCGGGTTTTGACATCACAGTGGGCAAATAACAGATATCCTGTTGTATAGGTTTAGCGCTTACCAATAAAAAATAGAAATACAGAACATGAGTGTAAAGCACTCTATAATCCTAATTTGCATGTAACACTTAGAAATAATATTTTAAAAATTCATATGCTTTCCGCTAGATGTCAGGCTAAGGCAATTGTTTCACAAGCGAGTTGACATGAGTGAGAAGGCGTGAAGTAAGTTAGTGTAGTCAGTGAAATACCGATCAAGTTTTATTTTAACAATTGAACATACTGGGTCAGGTAGAATAATTATAGAAGAATTCACTTGGAGACACCAGTTAATTAAAAGCAGTGTTGTATAGGAAACTTGACGTACCTTGTTGTTAATTTTGTACTTTCTTCGAATTCTTCGCCAAAGTCACTATTTTGCATAAACAGTGATACTGATAAACAATTGTTAACATGTTTGTAGAAAGGGGGTGTTTTGTTACCTCGCTAGTTTATTAAATTAGTAACTAGTTTCTTGATTGTCCGAATGAGATCAGACCTGTTGGTGTTTTGTGTCTGGATTTCTCCCCTAGAACTTGGAAGACATTTGATAAGATTCCTTACAAGTTAGTAAGATTCTTATGGAATTGAAATAAAAAACTCAAATGTGGGTTAAAAATTGGCTTGAACAGAAGAAGAAAACAGAGTTTTGATAAGTAAGCACCATTCTAATTGGGAAAATGAGACTTGTGATTTGTCTCAGGGACCTGTATTGAGACGTTTTTTGTGATTTATTTCAATGATAATGGATAGCTGCATAACTTACATAAAATTTCTAAATTTGCTGATAAGACCAATCTGCTAGGGAAACTGAATATGTGGGAAATGATTCTTTAAGGTAGCATATAATCCTTACATAGTTTTATCTAGGTTTTGGCCTTTTTATCAGAAAAACAAATCTTCATACTGTGCTTTTTGTTTGAAAATATATTGAAATAGGTACAAAGACATATTCTAGCACATGTGTGACAGTACCACTGTGACTAATTTGCATATTATAAAAATAATGAAATACAAAATAAATGTCTTATGTTCCTGATAACTACTACAAACATGACTGAATGCTCCTGAAAATTTGTCCAAACTTTAATGGGATGTGAAGAATTAGTCTAAACTAAGGAAAACTGAAAATTAATTCTAGGTCAAATTATGCCATTACTGAGTGTGCCTTAAGTAGGACATATGCTACAGTGACTCGTTAATTGTCATTCAATAAAAACCAAGCCTCTTATCAACTTTACCTTAGTACACATTATAGATACACCAGTAATGCATATTTAAGTCAATTGTGAAGTCTATATCATCAACAGATCTGCAGTTTTGGGTTAAAAAACCACTACAAGAATGTCAGTTTTCAGATTTTGAGAAAAACGTGTTTAAAGGCATTTAAAATAAACTTTTTATTTTTATACTCTTTTAAGTGTTTTTAGTTTAGCTAAGAGTTTTTTTTGCACTGGATATTGAAAGTAGATGGGTTAAGGATTCAAACTGTGCAAAATAAATAAATTGTGGTATTTTTTTGATATTTAAAGGATATATGCTACCTTAATGCAGAAGGATTTAGTTTATCTTTCTAATTGGACTAATCTGTGGTAAATGAGTTTTGACATTGATAAGTATAAAGTGGCACATGTAGGATATGGAAATTGGAAAATGTATTTTTGTGTTTACGAGTGTGGGAGAAATAGTGTTGTGAAGGTGAGTGATTTGTGTGGGATGATTGATAAGAGCATGAAGCTGTATGTTTAGAAGTAGTGAAAAAAACAAATAAGGTTCTGGGACCTATTTCAGAAACCTTTTTTTCTGGAGTAGTTAAGTTGTCATCATTTTGTACAAAACTTTGATAAGACCTCAATCAGAGTATTTTGTTCAGTTTGGCCACTTTATTATAGAAAAGATACTGATTTGCTTGAAAAGTTCAGAGATGGGCTATAAAAGTGATTCCTGGTTTGAAATTAGTGTCTCTGGAAATAGAAAACCTAGAGGTACTGATTCAGGTATCTCAAATCATTAGGAGCTTGGATAAACTGCTCAGGGGATGTTTATTACAGTGGCAAAATGATTTGGAACATTATACTGTATGAAACATAATTTTCTGATACAGCTAAGAACATTAAAGATTTACAGCCTTTCAGATAATAGGTTTATGGGGTCTCTAAGTTTATAATGTCTTCAGAGTTTGAATTTTACATTTATCTGTTTAGATAGATTACAAGTTATATAGCTAAACATTGAACTTGTGTGAATAAGATTTGATTGTTTAAGATTTATATTTTCAGATTAAACTGTGCTGAAACAAGCTCTCAGGATTTTTATCCAACATGAGCATCAGAGGTTTATGGATTGTGTCTTTGTCATCCTCGTCATTTGGAAAAACACTTTACTCCAGGTATTTTTCCAACAAGTACACTTCAAAAATATTTTACTTATGTGGGTGCCAGTGAGTTAAACTTTTGTTTATTTTTACTTCACTATGTTCAAATTTTCTTATTTTTAAATAGGAAACATCACAATGATTTCCTCTTTTTCATTATAGCTTTATTAAAATAATATACATGAACTTGTAATAAACATCCACCTGTTTAATTCTTAAGTTTAGTTCCAACTTTTTTGTTTTGTTTCATAATGATTAATGTTGATGCTTTAACATAAAAGGTGTAATAAGTATGTAACAACTGAATTTGGCTACTTAAAAGTTGAGATGCATAATACGTCAAATGATTTAAAACAAAGTTTCAATGAACTTGTTATCTGAAGTGACTATTTTCATTGTAGGTGTTTTTAAATGTTTCTTTTCAAAGTTAATCTTATTAAGTGTTGAAAACAACAACAGCAAAATTTTAATAAAAAGGTAAGCTCTGTTGCAGAGTGTAGCTGCTACACAATCATAGAATAAATCTTGCATATCAAACAATATTGTAATGCAAATATTGATAATTGATAGCTAGGG